CATTGGCTTGTATTTTGTTTTCTATGTCCTCTAACTAAAAACGCCACAGGCTCCTATCCAGCATTTAGCCATTATTTTTCATTTTGTACATTTTGACAGCTCCAAATAGTGCTATATCATGCCTTCTGGTCACGTCATTTTTTTTGTTCTTTGGAAAGATTATCACTGGCTACAAGGAAGTTGAGCAAGAAGTGCTCAGCCTTACTGAATTTCTACTTCATGACTTTTAATTTTCCTCCAACACACTCATGTCATACAAATGTGAAAGTGGAAATCATGCACTGCAGTGATGACTGCTGTTGTGCTGTTGGAATCTCTGCTAACCAAGACAATAAGTATTCCTCGGGGTTTACGTTCCTTGCACGGTAAATTCCAGTGTACAACGACCTAATATTGATTCACCATGCCAGACACACAATCTTACCATGCAGGGAAACACTTCTGGCTTCTACAGGAAATGGTTAAATCAGTTGTCAACACACAGTACAATTTCCCACACTCTTCTGGGTCAAAGTTTTTTTGTCTGTACCCTAAAACCTTCACACTGCAATGAGTAAATAATAAAGGAGACAATTGCAGTAGAAATGTCAAGGCAGATTTTGGGACAGTTACTGACATGGTATAATTTTATCAACATCAATTAATATGGGTGCATCAACTATACCACTGTTTTTCCTGTGTTCAGAAATGGCTTCCTGACTGGAATATTTTATTTCTCAGCTAGCTGCTGGTTTGTCTCTAACAGATGCTGCAGCTCTATCACTGATGTAGCAAAACAGACTCTCTGAGTCTCCAGCCCCACGACATTGCCCAGCAGACAGAGGGTCAGAGCTCACACAGCTGCACAGACAGAGCTGTCTGGGAGGAGGGAGGGCCTGCACTTTTCTTATATAAGCAAAAATAAAGGAGAGAAAAGGAAAATGATGAGTTGCATTGTATATATTGCTGCACAAACAAACTGAATTGATGAAGGTGCAGTTTTTTTCTCAGGCCTTGTCACAGCTAAAGCACAAAGAGTGCCCCACAGTGCTGGAGTCACATTGAAGCTTCCAGCTGTGATAAAGTCTGGAGGATGTCTCATGTCCCTCTCTGGTACCCATGTGCTGCTGGTGGGATTGACAGTGCAGAGGGAAGGTGACCCCAACCCCAAATCTGTAAGTGACACCAGTAACTGAACTGTTATCTGATCAAAGTGAATTTCACAAACATCATAGCAGGTTAAAAAGCTACATTCAACAAATACCCATTCAACAAATATCCAAGAAGAGAAGTGGTCACCGTAAAAACATAAATAACAGCCTTATCAACAAAAACAAAATTAAAACACTCCAACAAATCACCCAGTTTTCCTGCCATATTAGGCTTCTAAGCTTCCTTATCATCAGGTTTAATTTCTGGTTTTGGGCCCAGTCACACCGAATGAGGCATTTTAGAACATACTGAATTTTAAAAAGGACATGGCAAATAAATGGCATTTATGTTTTATCACGTTCTAATTAAATAATGAGGAAATGTGAATTTATCCTTTATAGACTGATTAAAGAAGAGTGCTCTGCTGGTTAATGAAGAGTACTTCACAAAGACAGAAGATAAATTTTACATAATTCAGAAACTTAAAGAATTGTAGGCCTGGAACGAATCAAAAAACTTATTACATTAATTCTGACTTAAGAAAAGGTGAAATTTTACCTCCTCACACCACTTTTGAGTCCCAGCTTGCTCAAGGTCCAGTGTAATCTCAGTTACCTCTCATTTCTTCACCTGTGTTTCATTTAAGTAATTACTCACACACTCACACACAGGTGGGAGCAGGTCTTGGAAAAGTAAAAATTTGCCTAAAGGTCAATGAGGCAAAGGCAAATATGTCTCACTGAATTTAAATGCCTTGCTATCATATATCCATGTAACAACTAAACTCTGTTTCTATCATATGATTTTCTGTATTAAACTATGGAGCAGCATCAGGAGCAGGATTTGCCTGGAATTCTTTCAGCACTCTGTCTGCCTTTGGAAGTGAATCCCTGAGACATTTCAAGCATGGATAAACAAGTTATTCATCCCTCTTATATTTGTTACACTTAAAACATGCCATCCCAGCTCGATTTTGAAAATGTCATGTGAAATAGTGTCAGGAGTCATCCAAAAGGCGAGATGACTTTTGACAACTTCTTTTTTTTCTCCCAGTAAGCTTTGGTATTTTGTATAAAAAACCCTACAATGTTCTGACATGATTCATTTCGACCAGCCATGCTGGCTAGTATTTATGTCCCTCTTATCATCTAGATGCTTAATGCTTTTTGAGTATCCCTTCAAGTTTTCAGTTTATATCATCTGTTTCAAAAATCCATGTTGCTTTTTAAAAATGGGACCGTATTTTCACTATCCTTCACAAACCCTTACAGGAAAACTCCGAAATTATTTCACTTGGCTCTCTGCCTAAAATGAAATTCATAGAACTTGGCTACTTTGGAATAATCTAAATATAGATTTCTCTCTCTAGGCTAAACCACATTTTAAGCCATTATTACCAGTGCTGATGGTGTTGTAGCAACTCCGTGTTCTAGTGAACACTAAGGCAAAAATGACATTAAGAAATTTAGGTTCCTGATTCTTCAGAACAATTCATTGATAATTTTCCCTCCTGATTGTGTGGATAACTAATTCTTTGGTCATCATACCACTAATGTACTGTAGGAAACTTTTATTCTTCATATTTATTCAGATTTTGTTTGTCCAAACTTGTACACGTTTCATAGAAACAGACATTTCTCTACCTGCCACACGATTCCTTTTATGAGTAGGAAACCTTGAGTACATTAATCCATCCCAGGCAGAACAGAATCTGACAGGCAAAGGGATTCCTACCTGCCCACTTGGAGCTCCCTTACCTGTCTTCGTGCTACATCCACTAATAAAATTCAACATAAAAACTCAAGGATACATTTCCTGGCTTCTTCCTTTAAGATACTTTAATCTCTGACTTCTTTAGTTCACTGGTACCCACTACCACATTCTGAAGGTCAATATTTGAGTTTGACAGTCATACACTAAGGAGAATAAATATTTATCTTTGAGTTTAATTTTCCCCTTCCATAACATATTTTACCTACCATTTTGAACCAGCTGCTGAAGATAAACCAGCAATTATAATATTAATATCTATTAATATTAATTGAGCACTTTCTTTTGCTTCCAGTATTTTTCAGTCTCTGAAGACCATTGCCTTTGAAATAATTAATTATATTGGTGGTATTTCTGCTGTAGTTAAATGTGACTCTACAAAACATGTGAAAAAAGTACCCAGGACTAAATGAAATAATTAAACTTTCAGGCCCCTGAAAATGATTCTCTAACCTCAGATATATACAGACTATTGGGAATTATTGATTTCACACAACTAGTCCTGTCTAGTTGCAATAGGGATGGTTGAGTATTATTTTAGTTGATTTCTGCAAACATCAAGGCTTAGATACAACACTTAGGAGTGGATATAATCAATCTGAAAGAGACATTTTTTAGAAAAATAATTTTCTGAGAATCATTACAGAAAACTTAAGAGAAAAATAGCAAAACAAGAATGTTACAGAGTATGAATTTGGCATCAAGTAGCTGATGCAAAACTAATGAGCATATAATCCAATTTTGCAGCTTCTTCATTTTCAATGAAGCATTGAAGGAAAACAAATAAGAAAGTAGAGTCATTAAACACACTGAGACAAATTAATTTTTGTAAGCCATAAACTACAAAGGAAACACATTATAGGTGAACTTGGTTTGCCCCTTTTTCTTTAAAAATAAAGTAAAATAAAATGAGTTTGAAATTGCTAATAAAGAGCTTCACAAGAAAGACAGTGAGTTTCTAGCTCTGATTTGGTCTATCTTAATGTATTTGTAAATAAAAGTATAATACTGATTCAACCTGATTTACCCCTTTTATTTACCATTTTTTTTCTCTGTTTTCTGTACTAGATGTGCAATTGTGGATGTAATCCAATATTCTGCTAAATTTAATACATTAATTTCATTAAGAGATCTTTTCTAATCATTTATGAAGTTGCATTTACAGTATCAAAGACAACCAGGAAATTTAGTCAACCAGCTACCATTATATCCTAGTTGGGCTTGGAAATTTAAAAAATACAAGTGCTTCACATTTGAACTAAAAACAATATTAAAGTGACAACATGTTTTTCTAAATAATCTTTAGCTAAAATAGTGTTGAATATTGCAGAATTTTCAAGATGTGTGATATACATTTATATAAAAAATGCATTATTTACAAAAACCAGATCAATAGAAAAAGAAATATTTTTCTAAGAGAATGTCAAAAAGATGTTTCAATGTGCAACCTGATCCATATTAAAAGGCAGTAAGGAATCGTGTTTGGAAAAAAATAATATGAGTATTTAAAAATGGAAGAGCTAACAGAATTCTGGAGTGGGAGGAATATATTTATATTGTACATTTCCATGAAAGGCAGAGAACTTTGTCTTCATTATTTACATTCAGACACTAAAGGCCATACAATGAAATGATTCCATCAACCTCTAGTCTGGTGATTTGTCTAGAATTATATGCTCCTCCTGAAATTATCTTTAGATTCGTTGTTATTTAGTAATGTAATTTAATGCACAAAGTAAGAAGAGAAAGAGAAATAAGACTCAGGGACATGTAATATCCAATATTTCCTACCAAAAGATATTTTAGCTTTTAGTACCACAGGAAAATAGGTTTGGTTTTGATGTGTTCTGTTTGTGAAGGATCATTGATGCAAAACTGTTAAAATAAGTCAGTGGAACAACCTACTACAGATAAGTGTAGTAAACTACAGTTTATGTGCAGCCTTATGAATGAAAACTTCTAGACATGAAGCAGAAAAAGGTGGAAGAAGGCGCGGTAAGACCAGAATCAGGAGTGTTTTATAATTTTAATGATTTCTGTGCTGCCTTTTGAACAAAAATCAATGCAACGAGCCTTTATAGTGCCTCTGTCCCTGGCAGGCTGTCCACGACCAGCAGCTCCCTGGGAATGCCCTCCAATGGCTCCGATGAGTATTTCCAGTGCACGAACCACGCCGAGCAAACGTTCCGCAAGATGGAGAGTTACCTGCAGCAGAAGCAGCTCTGCGACGTGCTGCTCATCGCCGGCGACCAGAAGATTCCAGCTCACAGGTACGTTCCCCCAGGATGGGTGATGTGGCTTCATGATATCTCCAGCTTATGCCTTCCCTGCTTAGCCATGAGTGAACAGTTGCTATAATTAGGACATCAACTAGTGTGGAACAATCTGATGTAATCAACGTTTCATACCTCTTATTTTCAATAGAAAGAAACTCAAGTACAAACCGCTGGCATTGTCTGTCCTCCCTTCTTGCTGCTGTCACACTACAGCAAGATCAGTGAAGAAAATCTGCCTGAACAAGCACTTTGGGAGAAAATTAGATTACTAATTACTCTCTTAAACTTTATTACTTGCTGCTATAAGACTTGAATACTATGCTAAATATAATGTTTCTATTGCACGCACTATTTATGACATAACAACACTGAATTTTCTGCCTGCTACTGAGATTAGGATGCCATTTGCTGTCTCAAACTGCTCTATTTCCAGGCTGGTTCTAAGTGCAGTGTCTGATTACTTTGCTGCCATGTTCACTAACGATGTGAGAGAAGCAAAGCAGGAGGAGATCAAGATGGAGGGAGTGGATCCCGAGGCACTGAAAGCTCTGGTGCGCTACGCCTACACTGGTAATTCTGCCTCCCTCCCTGGGATCTCCCAGCTTCTGGTTCTGAAGTTATACAAACTTATTACACATATTTTTATGAATTAATATACAAATTTTCATAGAATAGTTTGGGTTGGAAGGGATCTTAAAGATCATCTGGTTCCAATGCCCTGCTGTGGGCAGGGACACCCTCTACTACACCACATTACTCAGAGCCCCATTTTGGGAAAGGTTTTTCTCTAATCACACCTTTATTTTTTTTTTTGCTTAGTTTTTTTTTTCAACCAAATCAGATCTAACACTGTTAAAATTCCAACAAAAAAGTTCCAGTTGCTGTATTCAAAATCCACCAAATCCTGTAAGTCTGTTAAAACATATGTTTAGAGAATCCTTCAGCAAGAAAGGAAAATGAATTTGTGAACCACAGGACACTTCTTTCCAGAGAAGAACCATGGAGAGACAAACTTTCAAATAATGAAAATACAAGGAAAATGACTTAACATTTTAACATTTTTTTTCCCCTGTATGGAAACTGCACAGGTATCCTGGAGTTAAAAGAAGACACTATAGAAAGTTTGCTGTCTGCAGCGTGCCTTCTCCAGCTCTCCCAGGTTATTGAGGTGTGCTGCAACTTCCTCATGAAGCAGCTCCATCCTTCCAACTGCCTGGGGATCCGCTCCTTTGGAGATGCCCAGGGCTGCACGGAGCTCCTGAAGGTGGCACACACGTACACTATGGTAAGGGGAACAAGCTGGTTGCTTTCCAATTATAATTAGGGAAAGAAATATTCACTTCTGTTGTTTCCCTTTTCAGAATTTTGCCTTGTGTAAAGACATACTTAGCGAACTTTAATTTGCAGTATGAGTGGTACCTATTTCTGCCAAAAAATGTAATAGGGGCCTGAAAATGGCTATTTTCTAGAGTCAAACAGCAATGGGCCATTCTTACGCTCTTTATTCCACACAAAGAAAATTCTAAAGCTGATTTTAAGGTGAGACAGACATTAAAAAAGTCAAAATAAAGAATGTATTGGAAAGATTTGGAATGCTAAAAAGCAGCACATCCTTGACTGGAACATAATCCTCCTCTGGCTCAAAGCAAGAAATGAATATTCAGAGTGTGGGAAACAGAAAAGCGAGATAACTTGCTGTGAAACCAAATCGAGGGATAAATATTCAGGGCAACAAGATGTGCTATCACAGCTTCAAACACAAGAAGAATAGCAACTGCCACAGCTAAATAGATATAAAAAGAACTACTTGTTAGGAGACACATGGCAGCTTTATGCTTGAAATATTAGTGTAGTATGTCAAAACAAGTTTAGAGGCTCCATAATATGCAGTGCTCTCCAGCAAGAGGTTGTACATGTCCACATGCTGCAGTGAGAGTGGTGTGTGGGGGTTGAGGGCACTGGTTGTCCTCTTTCCTGTCACAGTAATGAATGGTTTGTTTATCAGCAATCTACTCTCTTTTTATATTTTAAAATTTGAGAAAAAGCATTTAAGATAGATGTTCACTCAGCCTGTCCATAACAGTGTTGTCCTTGCAGTTCCACACCTTTTTATGCCAACCAAAATCAGAAACTTCCCCCCTTTACTGTTGCCTCTCTTCCCCCAGCAGCCCCAGCACGAGTGTCAGCTGTAAACATTTAAAATTGATGGGTCAGATTTCTGCAAAGCTGAAATAAATTCATATGCTAAGACTTAACAACCTAATAACTTAATAAGAGATCCTTTTTTGTTCCTATTTTTTTTAACCCTTTGGATCCTCCAGTCTTTCCTGGGAGTGAAACCTTTACTATTCTTTGAAACAGGGTGTCACAGAAATGACAGTTGGGTCTGTAAGAACTCTCTAGTATGAAGGATCAGGATGAATCTATGACACTCAGCAGCACTGAGCATAAGCTTTATACTGCTTCTTCCTGAAATCAACTTCTACCACCTCTAGAACCACCTCCTGCACCTTTCATGCAACACAGACCAAGAATGCTGCCGTGAAACAGGACCTTGTGTGCCATAAGCCCACTCACCAAGTTTGCAGCTCCTGACAGCTTAGAGACAGAAGAGGAAATCTGCACCTGAAATCTGAAATAAATGTAAAGAAAATTTTCTTTCAAACCCTTGAAGCGAAATTACAAATAACTTTGGAGAATAAGAGATCATAATGCATAAACACACAAGTGTTGTGGAGGAGGATAAATAAAACATTCTGTTTTGTCTCATGTCAACCTCAACCACTTGAAAATGTGTACCTTAGGAAAAGTTGTACTGTAAATATAGAGACTGGTACATTTTTAGAAGATGATGAGCTATAAACACCAGACCCATTCAACAAAACCAGACACAATGGAGGCCTTCCCCTTCAACCACTTTGACCACTGATGCGAAGTATTAACAGTTTCCTGCCTGGTCTCTTTTTGTGCAGATAGAGCTGGTTCTGATAAACATCTTGTGCTATATTTGTAACTAAGAATGGACTGGCCTTCCTGTTCCTATCCTCTGAATGTCACAAAATATTAAAGCAGGATATGCACAGCAGAGCAAAGTTGACATCTCCTTTAATCGCTTCTGTATTTACATCTTTGAAGAGATACAGAAAGCAAAGAAACCACTGAAAACAAACAGCACATTATCAATTACTAAAATATCTTCATCTGCCCTATTTCAATCTGGTTCCCAAAGAAGATATATTAATTCCAGGTGCAGAAATAGAAATTATGTTTGAAATTCCGACATGAGTTCCTATATTCAATTTTTTGCAAGTAACTTAAACCGCCATATCTCTTCACCAAATTTCTTTTTTGCCTTTGAATTAGAAAAGTAAGCACACTTAATAAATGTTAATATCAACTCTATTATTGTTGTAACTCAACTCTACAATATACTGTTTTTACGAAAAATAATTCTTTGAAAACTCTGGGAATTTAATATATGTGGCCATTTCTGGAGCTGGTGACTTTTATCATAGCATTAGCTAAGAGAGGTCTTTGTTGGGACTTTTCCAAATTTTATTGCCCAAATAGTACTCTTAGAACAGTAAGTTGCTGTATTTTCTGCTACTAAGAGCAGATCTTACAGTCAACAGCTGGCACAGCTCGTTCCAAAAGGATTGGAGGGTTTCAGTGTAATTGGCCCAAATCCTTTGAATCTGTGATAGAGGGTACACAGTTCTTTGAATGCCCACTTGGCATTCATTCTTAAAATACACATTATATGTTCAAAAGCTGCATATTAAGATCATATTGATGGACAAACCTGCCAGTGCCAAATCCCTAAGCCAGGACACACTGACAAGAAGCCTGACAAACACAACTGTAGCGTGGTAGTGTGGAAATGAACATTATTCTTCAGTTCTGCAAGAGTAAGGCAGCAAAAAGCAACCAAGATCTCCCTTAAATGGTAGAAGGACATTTATATATTACACTTCCCTATACTGTGAAATGGAACAGGAATGAAATATATGCAAAGCCTACATTATCTTAGAAAAAGCTATTTCTATGTGTGAAAATCATCAGTGCATTGAAATCTTCTTCTATTTTTAGGAGCACTTCATAGAAGTAATAAAAAACCAGGAATTTCTTTTGCTCCCAGCTAATGAAATTGCAAAGCTCTTGTCTAGTGATGACATCAACGTGCCAGATGAAGAAGCCATATTCCAGGCACTGATGATGTGGGTGAGGCACGACTTGGAAAACAGGCAACGAGACCTGGGAATGCTTCTTTCCTACATTAGACTGCCCCTGCTTCCACCCCAGGTATGAACATGAAGGGCTGGAGTTTTTTGGTGGCCTTTTTCTTCTCTCTTTTTTTTTTTAAACTGCATAATCTATATATTTATAATTTTTAAACACAGGTAAAGAGAAATCCCACAATGCCAGTGTAATTACTTGGCTCAGAATTACCTCTAAAAAATGTCAGTGTATTCCAAAAGCAGTTTTTCTTTGTTGGGTAGCAATGGTAATAGTTTTTCTCTAATAACACAGCGACTTAGATACCATGCAAAGATAACTATTTAGATTTATCAAACTGCAGGACAAATAAAACCCACTGCTTATTTCTTTATTGCCATAGAAAGTGACAATACAAATGTAAAAGGGCCTAAATTATTGCAGACTATTCTGAGCACTGACATTACTTGTCCCTTCAGACTGAAAGAGACATTTCAGCAATGAAGTTCCAGAGGTGGACATACTGTTTTATAGAAAGGTGTCACTAAAGTATCTGTGTCATAGAAGAATTTTTATACCTCATCAGAAAGACATTCAGGAATATCAAGACTGTCAGTAAGGTCACTACAGCCACTTCATGAATCTCCATGACTGGAGAGAGGAGAAATGGTTGGACTGAAGCTGCAAATATTCTACTTTGGATAAAGTAAAAAAGTACTATACACACTTAATTTTAAATGCAAATTGTATCTTCTAATACTCACAGAAATGCCCAGCACTCTGTCTTAGACTTGCTTACTCACACCAAGACGAGTTCTGCATTCAGAGGATGCAGTACTACACTTGCAATTTTAACTCTTTTTAAAAGTTAAAAGAAAGAGGTAGGAAAAAAATTAAACAAAGACCTCATACTCAAAGACCTTTCCCCTCCACCTTTATATAGTTTTGCTTCATTAAAGCAGAATTTCCAGCAAAGCTCAAGTGATGAACTTAACATTTCAAGCTACCAATACCTTTATTGCTGAAATACCTGCAATTTTAATGATTTAATCTATGTCAAGATCCTCACTTTTCACCCCTTAGTTACTGGCCGATCTAGAAAACAGTCCAATGTTTGCAGACGACCTTGAGTGTCAGAAACTTCTCATGGAGGCCATGAAGTACCATCTGCTGCCAGAAAGACGGTCCATGATGCAGAGTCCTCGCACCAAGCCTAGAAAATCTACCGTGGGTGCACTCTATGCTGTGGGAGGTATGGATGCCACTAAAGGTAAGTTCAGGACTTAGTGTCATTGTATTAATTAATTGTATTACAGACATACAGAGAATATATGACAATTGTTTGAATATTTCCCTTCATGAAGCAGCAATTTAGGGACGAAAAAGAGGAAAAAGCAAATCACACAACAGCATTCTTAGTATTAGAAGTTCTTTCTCCTTGGAAGAATCTGAAGTTTGTAAATGGTATATATATCTTGAAGTGCAGACTAGAGAAGTCTGATTCAGGTGGTGATTTTAAAATAAAGTTTTGTAGGAATTTGTGCATATAGTTGACTTTATGAATCAGAAGAAAAGTTAAATATTTCAGGATGAATTTAGTGCTGAACCCTGTGGTCTATTTTATGACAAAGTTAGAAGGCTGGAAAAACTTTTAAAGAAGAAAAACAATAAAACCAATAAGCATAACTAAACTACAGAGAACTCAGCTAATGCTTATCAATCCTTATTATAAAATATAAATGGAAAGACTTGCATTTTTCATGAGTGGAACAATATTTGCAGCTTTTCTTCAAGACTTCATACGCAGCTTTTTTTTCAGGTTTGTAGTTGAAAGGTAAATATTATAATTGTATTCCAGTTTTTATGATTTGATTTTCACAACTGCAATCAGGTTACAGCTTCACACATTGAACTATTCTCTTTAGAAGGCAGAATATTAAATAATTTTCTCCAGGAACCTTAACTTCAAACCCAGAGCTTGGAGCCAGAGACCTGTAATTAGTTTAAAGTCTTGCAGCTTGCTGAACAGTATTACTTTTAGCTGTGTGAGTTCACTTTTAATAGAATCACAAAGAAGTTAATCCATTTCATGGTTTGCAAAAAGCTGCTGACGACTGGTTTTTCCCATCTGAGATCTTGCAGAGCTGCCTCACTATCTCCATGCAATCAAATAAAGTGTGAAATACACATTCAGAACCACCACAACAGAAAAAACACTAATTCCTAGGACAATTTAGCAAAATGAAGTTAACTGGAGCAATTAGTGGAGATTCATTAGTGATACTGAGTACTTAGGAATAAAACAACCATAAATTCAAAGTAATCTTTAAGCTAAATTCTACCAAAATAAGAGTAATATTTTCTAATGGGCTTTTCTTAGTTAAGGCTGCCCAAAGAAAGGGCTATTTCAGTCAACATCTGCACTTCCTGTTGGTGCCTCTTTTACTCCTTACCTTGGAATAAAGCCAATTGTTTGAACTTTTGCCTTTTGATGGGTAGGATGAACAGCACTTCCTCTCCTCCCTGCTGTCCTCTACAGCTCTGACTCACACTTTGAGCCTGTCCTGGATTGTAAGATAGAGGAAACAGCGGCTAAAGAGACCGGGATGTACTGGAAAAACAGCTCTGAGGAGGAGCAACTTCCACCTCTGGCAATAACACGCTGTCTGTGATAAAGGCAGACACACCAGGTTGAGTGTTCCAGGCAATGCCAGGCTTTGTGCTTATCTCAGGTGGTATGTGAAGTCAAATCTCAAATTCAAATGATCAAAAGAAGATCAAAGAGCTACTTTTGGGCTGGAATTTTGAAACATGTGGATGTGCCTGAACCACATTAAGTTTTGAAACTTTCAAATCTTCCAGCCTCTGTAAAATTTACAGCCCACAGGGTATGTCTGAACACATTTATACCTTACTGCATTTCTCCTGTTTTTGAGTTAGTGTGTGAGATATTTCCTTTGAAGTGGAGAACTTTGGGGCACTCTCACATTAGCATAGAATAAATGAGAAGGAATCAAAGCGAAGAGGAGCAAACAGACTAACAGGATGGAAAGAACAGTCAAAGAAATCCAGCAGCTCAGAATAAAAGATGACAGGAAAGGGGAAAAAGTAGAACTTTCTTTTATTGCAGATGGAGCTGGTAGTTTCTTTTCCAGTTTATGCATGTGCAAAAGCACGTAGAAGAGAGAAAAGATATCATGAGATATCAGATATTTCTGGAGTTTAGCAAGTGATCTCTGACAGATCTCTAAACCAAACACTACCTTTTTTTTCATCTTTATTGCATGGTTGTTTTGTTGTTATAAATAATTTCTTAGCCACTAACTGCCTATTGTTATCTTCAAAATACTACTTTTCCAGTCTCAAATCCCAACCAAAGAAAAGGAAATCAGAAAACCTATTTTCCTTGTCTGGTTGCCTTTGGTTGAGCTGAATTTGAGCTCCAGGGTGCACTGGATATGCCCCTGGGAATTGCCTTTCTTGCCTGGGATCTGACTCAGCCCTGTCCCTGCTGGGCGCTCTCAGCTCTCAGAGGAGCAATTACAGCTGCTGGGTGATGATGGGAGCCAGTGCATGGGAAAGCATCAGTTCTGAATGGCAGGGACCTGGTGCCTTGTGAAGGCATTACTGGAAGTTCAGTGACCTGAAGAAATGGAAAATACAGCTTATATGTTACAGCAGACAAGCAGCTACTGCAGGGCTGCTGCAAAGGGGAACCTCAGGGAGGACACCTGTGGGAACAACACGTGTACTCGCACACAGCTCTGCCTGACTCCATCAGCAAAGGGAAAATACCCAACCCATTACTGAAGATGCATGTCCAGTTCCTCAGACAGACAGATACAAACCTTTTCTGGTTTGGAGATCATAGAATCACAGAATAGTTTGAGTTGGAAGGGACTTTGAAGATCACCCATTTCCAACCTCCTGCCATGGGGAGGGACACCTTCCACTAGATCAGAGCCCCAATTCAACCTGGCCTTAAACACCCTCAGGAATGGGTAATCCACAACTTTCCTGGGACACCTATTCCAGTCTCTTGCCACTCTCACAGTAAAGAACTTTTTCCTAATATCTAATCCTAATATCAGTAATGGTTTAGGCACAAATGCCTAAACTCTTAGGTTAAAGAGTAGACTGTTGTGAGATACCATATTCATAAGGAATATTAAAAAAATCCCAAAACCAAATCACAAAATCCCTACTCTCATTATATTTAAATTAATAAGAGATTTAACTTATCTCTGAAATTTTCAATGCTACAAAAAATTGCCATAACTTAATTCTCCATCTTCTTGCCCCAGCATACCCTCACAGATTTCCCCATCTTGTATGCGTGCAATTAAAGCTTCTTCCTCACTAGGTTCACATGAGAACTGAAGTTCCCAGGGAGTGCCAGTAAAATTCCACACACAGAATTTCCATATTTTGTAATTTAATCATATTTTGTGTTGTACTGACTGCTGGGTACAGCTCCCCTCATGGCTATCCCATAATGCTTTTATCTCTAACAGGTACCACTACAATTGAGAAATACGACCTCAGGACTAACAGCTGGATACAAATTGGCACCATGAACGGCAGACGGCTGCAGTTCGGGGTGGCAGTGATTGACAACAAGCTCTATATCGTGGGGGGCAGAGATGGGCTGAAAACTTCCAACATTGTGGAATGTTTCAACCCTGTCACCAAAGCTTGGACTATAATGCCTCCCATGTCCACACACAGGCATGGCCTAGGTAAGAGGTGCTCTTTGCAAATGCCTCACAGTGCACATACAAATGAATTTTGGTTGCCATAAATGCTGGCATAACTTTTTAAAGCCTTGAATAACATGCAGAAATATTTGTAAAAGACATTTTTCAAAGACAGGGTTGTCTATTATCATAATTTTATGACAGTGATATTAATTAGTATTCGCCTGACACTGGTTTTCCAGAGTTAGTTTTGCTTATAGAAAACTCCAAAAGCTAAGCAATAATGAAAATAATCAACTCTTCACGTGATTTAATGGTCAAAAGATACATTTACAATACAATAACAACCTGATTTTAATTATTTTTTCAATTATGACTTGAGGTAAGCCCATAGGTACCAAGCACCTCTTAATTCAGGTCAGGGCATTGCCCACACTGAAGAAAACATTGAAGCATGGAAATAAGTACGACTTCACCAGTTTTAATGTTGTAATTACAAGACATTTTTAGGAGCTCTGCCATGGCTTAGTATCTGTGGGTCTTTAGTGCACAGTAATCCTTATTATGATTCAGAATGAAGGAATACCACGAATATGAAATCTAGAATTTATTTCTGGAACTATAAAAAATAAGGCCAAGTTTACAGTTGAGGAAACTAATGGAGGGAAGATGATGATTTCGGAAGGATTTATATATCACAGTTCTTATGAAAAAGCTAGGTTTTTTAAAGTTTACAGAAATCATTGATAAGTTCAAATGACGTGGAATATTTTAATGAATAATAGAGAAAGACTAACCCAGAATTACTTGGTAAACCCTTGTGGCCTACATCACCTTCTCCACTTCTTGGTGGGGTAAGTGTAGAGTAGGGTTCTTAACAGCTAGTCCACAAAATTTATAAAACCAAATACTAGTAGGTAGCAAAGGGAAAGAAGACAAAACAGATTAAATAATTTTCATTGAAATCTTTACAATTACCAACTTCAGGGACAAAATTCTACTCAACAAGTAGGTCAGGGCAGTAAATTTGAGTGTCCAAAGCTTGGCTTCTCTTTGTGCATCAGCCTAGTTTGCAAAGCTCCCTCACACTCACAGCCCCTATTAACTTCAGTGTGATCCTGGGGAGAGTTAGAGCTTTTGAAAAAATCAGGACATGTATATTTAGGCCTGAAAGACAGATTTAGAAAACTTTTAAGCAACCAGACTCCAACATTTTGCTTTACCTAACAAAGGGAACAAACAGCAGGGCAGCAGCAGCAGCTCCCAAAGGGGAGGCACCAAAGCCCTTCTCTCTGGAGAAGCACAATGGCACAGGATATGTCCACACAGAGCTTTGCAGACACAGCCAAGTTCACTCTCCTGGGCCTCAAGGACAGCAGACACCAACCAGCTCTTATCCAAAAGTGTGCTCCCCTTAAAGGCATTAATGTGTTATGGTCCTTTTGCTGGCAAGGACAGCCAGACACCCACCCACTCAGGCTTTGTGCTGGCAGGACTACAGAGCTTCAGCAGGCTCAGAATTAGGACAAGTCATTGGTTTTGGGCATGTTTTTTATTGCCTGAGTCAAATTTTGCCTTTCTTTAAATGAATAGCATAGTTTCTCATTTAGGGTCTCAAATTTGCTTCAGAACAAGGTCAGCAGAAGCAAAAGAGATAAAAGTCCAAGAGAACAACAGAACTAAAGCAGCTTTCCTCTAATCTTTTGGCAAAAGATAATGGTTATTTAGAAAACATGAAGTATTTTATCTTTGTTTATTCTGCCAAGTGAAAAGGCAGCTTTCAGATAGTTTAATACCAGCTGCAGTTGCTTATCTGCACACAGGGGATTGAAGTATGAAGACACTACTGGTCACTGAAATTATGAGATAACTTGTCCCTAATTCTATCTTTTAAGGAGTAGCAATGCTTGAAGGACCGATGTATGCTGTTGGTGGGCACGATGGGTGGAGTTACCTCAACACTGTGGAGCGATGGGACCCCCAGGCACGGCAGTGGAATTACGTGGCCAGCATGTCGACCCCCAGGAGCACCGTGGGGGTTGCAGCATTAAACAGCAAGTATGTCAACAGGAAAGCCTCTCTTTGCATTTTCACTCGCTTCCTTCCTTGGAAATGCAGTCTCTTCAATTTGCTTTTCCATCTTATAGTAATTAATGACCTCAAGAAAACAAAGAGAAAACACAATGCACTGAAATAAGGGAGGAAAGGTTTTTCCTCTGCTGCCTGGTAAATTGATTTCCAACTTGCAGTCATGTTTTAAACATATTTCAGACCTTTTAAGTTACAGCAATGTGAAAATGTTATTACATGCATATCAGAGTTTTACCTAGAACATAACTTATGGGGATACAGAATCAGCTACTTTAAAAAATATTCCAAATTTATATTTACACTTTAAAACCAGAGTGTCTAAGGAAGTGCCACTTGAAAGAACATGTACAGAAATGAAGTCATTCCTCTGTCATTTCGCATCTCCTGCACGCATCTACAACTTTTAGATACAAATTCACAGTCAAGAATAATTTTTAAAATGTTAAGGCTGTATGGTGTGTTTAAGGGAAGGAAGACAAGTTTATTAATTAGGTATGGAATAAACAGCTCTCTGTAAGTCTTATCCTACCCAGATTTGTTCTTCCCTCTGTTAAATACACTGAAATTGTGTGTTAATGTATTTAAACACTCTCCTAAGATGCTAAGGCCTTTCAAGCACTCCTGTATGGGAACAGACACCTGTGTGAATCTACTGTGCAACCTGTACTGAACAGTGTTACACTTTGTTGTAAATCCCTATTTGAATGTAGTTGTATTTCAGAGTGAGGAAGAACAATTTCCAAATCAATGCCTATCAAAATTCTATTTTTCTTCTTCAGTAGCACAGTCTTGTGCTGGAAATACAAAAGCCTTGTGAAAGACCCCTATGTTAGAAAACATGGCTTGAACCAACCTTCCTTCTTATTTAAATCTGTGGGAAGCTCTTAGCAATGAGAGTTTGTAGGGGTCAGGAATGCCACAGATGCAGGCAGAGAATTGCATTTACTTTGAACATCTTTCACTGGCTTCCCTGATCACTGTAAATTCCAGAGAAAGAGGAGGATAAAGAGCAGAAACAGAGTTGTCAGCAAAGGGATATTTGTAAATGCAAAACCTCTTGACATACAGGTCAGGATTCTGCATTCAAACAGGGTATGACTCAAATCTTTAACTCCCAAGTCCAAGAGAAGCAGAACCACCTTTCCAAGTGCCTGCTGTACCTCAGAGGAAAGTTCTCAGCAGAAACTCCACCAGAAACTCCTGTTGGTACCTTCCACAGCAACACGCAGGAAACCTCTTTGTCAAAGAGGAAATCCAGCCCAGGCTTGACTCTGTTCTCAATCATTCCCGATACAAAGCTGTCTCCAGCCTGGCTGAAATCACGTCTGTTAGTCTAGTGATGTCATTTCTGGCATACCAGGAGATCAAATGTCCATCACTCAGTGGTCTAACCAGGCAGAATGCTTCTTTTCCTGTTGCCCTAAGACTTTTTCTATTCAGCTCCACCAGAAAAGGCTTTACATTTCTGTGGAGCAGCACTTTTGGATCAATTAGTGGTTCATTGAGAACATCAGTCAATAATGTTATATTTAGGCTTTTCCTTAGAGAAGGGGAAACAATACCATATTTATAGACACATTAGAGAAAACAAAGAAACTCAACCAATCTGTTTGTATATACAGCGACTTCCTCTCCCTGTGAAAGCTGTGTAAACAAGCAGTCGGTATCTAATGGCATGATGTGAAAAGAAAACAAATAAAAGCCTCAAGTTTTGTATGGATCAGGCAACAAACTGCACAACCAAACTCAATTTTATCAACTGAACATCGGGAGAGAGAGCTGGGAATTTTGTTTTATTCTAGCAGTGGTCAAGAATCTTCTAGTTAAAATATGGAGCAGAGTGGTTTAAAAGTTTTTTCACTCACTGGAACGAAACAGGAACTTCTGAAGGAAAATTCAGCTGATCTGGTTTAGGTGACTTATTCTGGGCCAGTCCACTGTTCCCCAGGTCTCTAAGTAGTTGCAAGGAGTAAATTCAATTTAATGGCAGAAAATAATAACCAGGGTTTGAAAGGGAACAGAAAAACCAGCACATCTGAACACATCTACTATTACATCCTATCACAGTCCAGCAGCATCCAAGACACATTGAAACCACAAAGAAATTAAGGCCTTGTAAAATTCATTGACAGAAAGCCACAACCCCCCCATGTTTCATAATGTGGGTTTCCACAATTAATTCCTACGTGTTGTAGGAATCAACTGTTTAAATCTCCAGTGGTTTGCTAAGTGTCTTTGGGCTGAACAGACAAGATGGTACCTGGATGGTACTTCCTGTCCAACAGCTTTTCTTCAATGTAAAGTTTGTGGAAAACATATTTAATATATTTTTGATATATGTTTTTGAGATCTATTCTTACTGTTCAAGTTCTTTTATGTATTAGCAGCACAGAAAAAACACTTAATGTGACACTAAGATGTCAAATACTCCGTGAGCCCATGCCAAGGAATATTATCCATATATTTCAAGCATATGTAGTGTCTTTCAATTCAGTTCCTTCTATGCCTCACTTTTAAAGAAGCTGACATGCATTTTTAAGCTTAATTTTCACATGTGACTGCTTGAACATTTGCAGAGAAAATGGGGAACATAACTCAGTTCAAATAGCAAAAAACTTTTACAAAGAAAGTTCCAGAGCGTAGCTGTTGGAGAGCAAATAATGGGGATAATGACAATTTGAAAGTGTTCTGAATGAATTTAACCCAATAAAGTTCCTCTTAAAATAAGAGGCTGAAGACTAAAGCTGTTTGCCTGTTTGTGTGTTTTTATCCCAGACTCTACGCTGTTGGAGGACGAGATGGGAGCTCCTGCCTAAAGTCCATGGAATGTTTTGATCCACATACAAACAAGTGGAGTTTGTGTGCCCCCATGTCCAAGAGAAGAGGTGGAGTCGGTGTTGCAACCTACAATGGGTTCTTATATGCTGTGGGAGGTCACGATGCACCTGCTTCCAACCACTGCTCCCGACTTTCCGACTGTGTAGAAAGGTAAGGAATTTTTTTTTTTTTTTTTTTTTACATTCCAGGAAGGAAATATAGAATAAAACCTCTTCACAATTGGAATGCTATGTGTGCAAAAAAACATATCCTGCTTTTTAAAAACAATATTTGGAGCAGAACGACTGGTTTCCAATACTGTAGTGAGAACAAAGGAATTAAACCTCAGAAGCAAATTCCCCTCAACTCCCCCCTTTTGCTTGAGCTGACCAAGAGCCAGGCAAAGGCAACTTAAGTATTAAGAAAAATTCAACATGTGACCTTTCTATTTCTCAATAAAAAATGCCAAAACCAGCCTAAACCCAGTGTGCCCTATATTGTAAGAGTTAAATGCTTTCCAGTTGTGTTTTCCTCCAATAATTTGCTGATATTGATGGTAAATTTTACAGTAAAATTAATATCACAGGCTGAACAGGGAGTACTCACTACACAGGTATTTTCTGATGAGGAGACTGATGAGAAGAGTCTTAAGAAAAATGCAAATTCTGGACATTTCTTTTTGGAAGTGTTGTGTTTTGAATGTTGCTTTGGGACGTGGCACATTGTAGGAGGATAGAGAACACTTGAGTCCCTGGTGAGAAGGGAACAGGATGAGTGAGGGCAACTCCTCTGGCTCTCAACGGGCCAGGGGTATCCACTGACACTCCTGTGTCATTTGGGGACAAAAGATGAAAACTGAGAGAGCATCCAACCCCCTGGTGTGAATAACAGTGGACTCTGTTCTCAGTTAGATGGTGTAAAACAGGGACTACCCTGGAATTCACTTCAATTGACATTGGAAGTTGACTGAGTAGATCAGAAATAAAATCCACACTGATGTAAGATCCTGCCATGCATTTTGTGTGACAAACTTAGATCTACTACACGAGGTGTATAGTGAAATTTTGCAGTGAAATTTTCTGAAAACATTAGCTCTGACAAGAAAGAGAAAACCAAAAGCTTTATGGAAGAAGGAAAAATAATATATTGAAATTAACTTCGCTGACTCAACTGGTGGCCATGTTATCATTCCCTCGGGTCCCATTTATGCTTAAAATGTATTGATTGCTTAATGGGATTGAAATGGAGAGACTGCAGAGCAAAAAGTGAAAACATGGACATTTTCCATGGGCTTGAAGACCCCTCTAGTGGCCGAATTAAATATCGACTCACATAACAATTCTACTAGTTCCCAGTATAAACTGAACTGCGATACAGGAGAAAATAAGCAAATAACCGTAATTTAAATTTCAAACATGTTTTTATGATGTATTTCTCTACATTTGATCATCAAACATTCCTAGGTATGATCCTAAAACAGATGCTTGGACAACAGTGGCCCCCCTGAGTGTCCCTCGGGATGCAGTTGGGATCTGCCCTCTGGGGGACAGGTTATACGCTGTGGGGGGCTACGATGGCCACGCGTACCTGGACACTGTGGAGTCCTACGATGCCCAGAACAACGAGTGGACAGAGGTAATGGGAAGAATCACCTCGGAAATAGTAGGAATTCCTCCTGCAGCAAGGAATAATGCTGTCTACATAATCAGTAAAACCATGTCACAAAGTTATTGCTGGTGCTGTGAAAAATGACATATCAGGCTGCAGTAATATGACACTGGGCTTGAATTAAATATCATTGCCTGTCTTGTGAAAGAATTGGATAAAACTTTTCGGACTAAGGGGTGGAGGCTGTGCATGGGTGAGTGAATCCTGTTGCACAAATCGTTTGGGGCTTTAAGTGCTTAAATTTGCCATGGCTGGAGCTGGTGTGTGTTTGTCATTAGTGGTGTCTTCTGGAGGCACTTTCAAATTTCTTTATTTATGATTGTCACAATTGAGACAAGGAGGAAATATCTAACACTTTTGTAGCTTTAGGTATTTTTGTAGCCACACAGGCTGTTGTTTTGGAGCATAGAACATGAAGGTCTTTTACATATGTTAACAGCAACACCACCACTCTACACTCCTGTAACTCTCAGCAGCTACTGAATTTTGTCAAAAAGCCCAAATTGTGTTTTTTAGAGCCCTGGGTAAATCTAATTTTTTTAGCATTACATCAGTTCGAATAAACAATTTTTTTCCTATTAACCTGGAAGTAATTTCTTCTTCAGTCCTATGTTTCCTCCTTTTTATTTTTCTTTTCTCTTTCCATTTTTAGGAAGTTCCTGTCAACATTGGAAGGGCTGGAGCATGCGTTGTTGTGGTGAAGTTGCCCTGAGGACTATAAATATCCCAAAACTAAAGTGAGTGGAGTTTCAGAAGAAACATTTCCAGAGAGCAGCACAGACTACACACATCTCAGTAACCCTCTGTCACAGACAATAACTGAGCCATCTATTAGAGCACAAAAGCGTCTTCCTGCATCACAAAAATTGGACAGTCCTGCATAACTGAATTATTTTATTATGCCTAACACAAAATCCAGTAACATGTTTAAATGGTTCCTGTTTGTTAAAAAAGTGTATCTGTTATTTATAAAATGCAGTAGTAAAGTGAGAAACAGGTGTATCAGATTTCATAATCTTTTTTCCTTTCTATGTTAGCAGGAATGAAAATGTTTATAAAAAGAGCTTTTATATTTTAAGCAAATGAAAATGACTAAGAAATACATTCAGCAGAGAACTGCACAGAAGGAAATATTTGCTCATAAATATCACTGGCAACAGAATATTCTCTACAGAGCAGCTTAATTTCATATTCAGAAATAAAACCACTAAATTAACTTTAAGATCAAATCAGAGAAGCAGAGAATTGGTTGTAATTTACCATTCAGCTTTGGTAGTACTGTGTACAAAATATCCATTTTTAGCAGTATATTGAATTGAATAATGCAAGTTAAGAAATAGTAGGGCTAAGGTACCTTCATGCTATTAAATATGTGCCAACAGAAAGAAATCTCTTTTGTCAAAACACAATGCTGATATAATTTAAAATTATTTTCACAGTGCACAGATATGTGATATTTTAATGCTGTTCTGGGTGTCAGGTTATTCCTGGGTTTCTCTTTGCCCACAACCATCTGTCAGTATGTGCTGAACTAATTTGACTATTCTTGGGATAATAACCATGCATTAAACTTTAAAACAATCACATAATTACATTCCTTGAATATAACTTACAAAATGAAATTTTTATATCATATTGATATGACAATCTTTGACCTCAGCTGAAGATTACCAGCTTTCTCTCATGTACAGTAGAAATATGGTAAGGAAAAAACCACATCCACTGTGTGACATTATATACCACTTAGATAAACATGTTTATGTTTTATCTGAAATTAGGGGAATGCTAAGAATCAAGATTAAACGGGAAAACACCACATGATATTCCACATGCATGATATTTTCTTTTTGTGTGCCAATTTCTAAGGAAGGTTTTGATTTGTTTTGCATTAATTTCATTTTTTATATATATAATTTCAAATGCTGAAAGTGTATTTTAGAAAAAGAATGTATGTAAGATATTCTATGCTGTAAAGCACAATACTTGGTCAGTACCCACCTTAGTGTTTGTTATGTTGTTCTTTTGTCAGAAAATTCAGGACAGAGATGAAAAATCTTTGAATGTGTAGAGTAACTTTCCTGATGGAATACTGTGTTATCAGAATTCAGCAATATGCTATTTTAAAGACTTTATAGTATTAAGCCTATTGAATGCCTCTAAAGGTGAAATGTCATAAGCATATTTATAAAAGGAAGAACATTTTTAACTTTAAAAATGAATTATGTTTATATATAGCATGCTACATTCAAATAAAATTTACTTTCTCTGCTAAGAAAATTTAGACTACATTTTAACAACGTTGTGGGGTTTTTTTTCATCCTTTCAAAACCAGGAAACAGAGAAGGATCAATCTCTTTTTGTACTTTAAAAGAGCAAAAGATCCATAAAAAACCCTATTGACCAAATGGGGGACAAACCCTAAGCCAGCTTGTGGGTCATGGGTTCCAGAATTCCCATCAGAGAAGGAAGGCACTTTAATTTCCCATTAAATCAATAATCTGAAGCAAACACAAGGGCCCAACCACCAAACTGACAGTGAACCTGCACAATAAGACCTTTGGGAATTTAGGGTGGATGTTAAATTTCTCTCCCCCTCATCCTGTCTGACCCCCTACTTAGAACACCTTTTTGCAGCAAACATTAACTTTTAGCATTATTAATAAAAATTCCATAATTTTTTCTCTCTTCATGGCCATCCTGCTTCAATCATGCAACAGCCACATGTATCCTTTTATAGAAATAAGGATTTGTATGGACAGAGAGAGAGGGTCACTATTATTTGTCACTCAGGCTCTAAATCCTGCTTTTCTCCTGTTCTCCTATAAGAGCACATCCCTGCTGCCAGGAACCAGTGCAACATCATATATTCTACTCTTGTTTGGAAAGCCCTGATATCAAATGCCCGTTTTTAAGACTCTAAAACTCAAATTATACAAACAATGTACAACTAATGTCAAGATATACACTGGGAGTCTGGAAATACCAGCTGGGAATCAGGTTGTGCACGGGCTGTTTGAAGCTGTTGATATTAAACTTCATTTCAACATGTAAAGAGTAAGAGGAATATTTCACACTCAAAACATGAATTAATTCAACATAATCTATTTTAGGATGAAACCCTGACAAGAACTATCACAAGATGAAGTATTAAGTGTTAGAAAACATAAACATAAAATTCGAGCAGATATTTGAATTCAAGTAACAAAGTGACATGATTGAATTTTCTACAAAAGGAAGTTCCTTGGTAGTTTCAGTACTGAAGTTTGTTTAAGGATTTTGGGGTTTTTTCCCATATTATTTGTACAACAGTGAAAAATCACGTGAAAGGAAACCAGCAATCCACAAAAGGAAATTGGACACCTAACAGGGAGATGAAAAACAAGCAAACTGGAGAGAATTTGAAGATGTTTAGACATTATTAGGTGAGAGGAAGTGCTGGAGATATTCTCTGATGAGGTGTCCTGCCTTCCCATTTCCTGGTTCTCCAAACATGAGTGGGTGCTATGGTTGTGCAGCATCTTTGCTCAGTGGATTCCTCACAGCTGCAGCACATCTGGCTGGTTTGACAGGGTGGCAGGGAGCCAATCCCAGGGGGACCCATTCCCAGAGGGAGCCATCCCCTCTCACCCCAACCTTGCACTGCTCTGGGTTTCTTATCAGGACTCTTGCTGGAACAATGATATTATCTGTGCTATTTCTTCTTTGCCCAAATCTTGGCCCAAAGAAGATTTGAGCCCCAATCTTCTTTGCCCATTGTATTTTCTTGTCTTTTAAGTCCTGGTCCTTATAACACCTTTTTTCCTCTTTGGTCTGGGTGATCTCTACATGAACTGCACCAGCAATGATACTTTATATAACACGATGTGTGGGGAGCAGGGACACCACTTACCTGCAAAATCAGTTCTAGAAAAGATTAAAGATGCAGCTTAACCACTGTCATGTCTCTATCTACCAGTAGGAAATATTTAGGGCAAGAACATAAGAACCAACTAGCCCAGAAAAATCCCTTTATCAGTGATACTTTCAGCACTGCAACTGGAGCATTCCTCATAACACAGATAGAAGGCAGGAAAACTGTACTAGAGCTATTTACAGCTGTCACAGAAAAAATAAATTATTTCCCTGATGCCAGTAGAATAAATATATTAGGGAAGGATTTGGGCCCAGTTATTTCAACACACAGATTAGTTAATAAACTAAGACTGTTCTGGATACTCTTCTCACTATGCCAACAAGATACATAGATATTTGAAGCATATTTGAACACCTCAATCAATAGTTTTGGCTGTTACCTTCTCTTTTTTCTGCCTTCTTGGCTGAGGAACTTACAAAACCAGCTTTTCTACAGTACAGGCTCAATTGGTTGAATTGGAACAAGAGGTCTTTAAGGTCCTTTCCAACCCTAACAATTTTGAGAGTGAAAAGAATCTTTTAACACGAAAAGGGACATTTGGTTTTTGTGTCTGGAAGGATTGTCCAAGGTAATTTCCTGGAAGGGAATCAGTAAAGTGTCACGTGAGACTAATCCTGTCTCTTCCTACATGTGTGTTTCTGTACAATGTCATCACACGATGTCATTTCTTGGCTTCCCACATAACCCCAGACTCCAGATGCTGAATAGATACTAAATACCTGGGTTTCAGTATCTGACTCCTCAAAAGCAAAATAGTTCACTGAAATTACCTCAGTTTCTCCGACCTCAGTTAAATAAACTGCAATGAATTTATTTGTACATTTAAGAGTGAGTCCTTCCCACGGTGAATTTTCTTATTGATTACAGTTAATTGCTGAAGAGGTTAAACTGAATTTCTGTAGTGGTCACAATGAGGTAGCATTTCTAACAGATTGTATGCTGAGAGTACCTGCAGTTGGTATTTGAGCCTCACCTCTTACTCCCCATCTCTTCTTACAAGGAAAGGGGGGAATTTTATCAGAACAGAAATAGTTCCACTGCACTTCCTCACAGAAAGAGGCAGGGCTGCATTTTTTTCCCCCAGTAAAGCTGTATTCTTTTTCTCTCTGAAATCCCTTCTGACCTCCTCTCCTGCCAAAGAAACCTGACAGCAAAGTGCTGTGTTCAACCACTCCTGCTTTTCAGTAAAGCTCCACTACATCATTCACACACAGAGTCCTTAAAGGCTCCACACCTTTTCTTCCTCAGATCTACATCCCTGGGGACTTTTTGCTCCATTGCAACTCTAAATATGCAAAGATAACTAAAAAACTTGTCCTCTTGTACATGAATACTTATGGAATGTAGAGGAGAGGACGGTGCTAACGTCACCAGCCAACCACAAATGACTAAGAAAATATATCCATCACTTATTGCTTGGACTACTCACTTGGGAATGATTGTCCAGGAATGATCTTTTCAATATGCTATTTTAAGTATAGATTCATCTTTCACAGTTAATATTAAAAAAATTATATCTGAAAGTGTTTGTGTGTTATTCCAGCAGGAAGTTTAATATAAGAAACTTTTTGTTCACCTTCTTCTTTTTGGTGAGAGAAAATCTGTTTTAATCTAAGTCAAGGTCCAATAAAGCCTCAGTTTACATGAATTGTAAGAAAATACTCTAAGGTTTAGACCAAATAATTTATGCAAAACTGCAATATCCCTGTAAGGTATTGCCAAAGGTATCACCAAAGACATTACCCAGAAAACATTTTTTAATAATAAAATTAATGCATAGAAGAGGAACAAAAATAAAATAGGCAAAAATATAGAGTATAATTTTTAATTTCTTGCATAAAGCAGTTTTTTGCTAAACTACAGTCTCAACTGATCAGTGGTAGATATTTTAGAACTGCATAAACCAAGGGTCGAATGTCCTATATTCAATATTATTGGAACTTGTCCAACGTTTCTTTACTTGGTGCAGTAACATGAGATCATTTTATTGAGAGGATCACACCCACTACATTTTCTACATAGGATTTCTCATTGCGAGTTCCCTCAGGGTTAATTGAGGTTTGCCCATGAACTTTTCAGTCAAGGCAGAAATGAACCTCTTAAACACAGATCCACATCTTAATAATCCGAGTGCTCTTCCTCAGCAAGTTGGATACAACTTTTCTCATCATGTAGTGCTTGGAAAGTCAGGTTTGGAGCACCGAAGCTTGCTCCTATTGCTTGAGTGTACAGTGAAACCCATGAGCTCAGCTGCCATTCGGGGGCTGCTCAGAAGGTGGTGCTATGTGACAATTTTTAGAGAATCCTGGCTCTTTCTAAGAGAACACGGGTCTACCTTGTAGTAATATTTATCTCTGAAATATAAATCAACTGTTTATTACTCTCAGGAGCCCACTACACTTGTTAGTGGAACTGCCTTACGTAAATTTTCACCACGTGCACAAACACAGACACTGCTGACCTCCTAAGAACAGTTTTGGGATCAAAGTTACTGAGTTACAGCAAAAATCCTTCTGTAAATATTCCCAAAACCACAGTTGTTATCACTAGTCCCGTGCCTGTCCTGGGGTTTTGGCACATTGAAATCAAAAATTGCTTTTTTTTCATCTCCCTGAGTGCAAATCATGAAACCCTTTCCTTTGGCTGCAGAGGCTCAGGGTGAAAAACCAAATATAGGGGCAGATGGTGGAAGAGAAAGCTGTATTTTCCAACTGGTTCATTAGCCCCATCAATTAGCCCAACCACCCTCCCCTGACCACCCAGACATATTTAAGATGCAGTCCCTGACATGGGGTATAATCTATAAAACTCTGCCTTTTAGAAAAGGTACAAGATACCTACATGGATGTTAAGACCGTAAATATAACGTGTTTTTTCTTCTGTTTCCCCATTTTCCATATTAGGATAGTTATGAAAAGGAGCTAGAAATAAAACCAACAAGCTTTACACGAAATACAGTGAAACTTCATACAATCCTAACATTTTTTTCTATAAGAAAAAAAAGCAGGACATCATCTTTCCTCTGCAGCAGGGACTCCTCCCAGATACTGAATGCAACTTTTCCAGGCTTCAACAGTCTCATCTCATCTCTCTGTAAAACACTGAGATGCAACTTGCTTTCATATATACTTGTCCCTGTCACCTCAAGTTAATATAAAGTCTAGTGATACTGCTTCCAGAATTCAGAAAGAGGTTCTGAAGCACAACATTACAAAATTACAGCTTATGAATCATTTCTTACAGAAAATAGAGAGCAGTTTACAACCAGCTTTATGCAGTTTATAAGACAGATCTAAATATACATAATAATTTTAAAAACGCTGGGGAAAGTGAAGTATTACATCACTTGAAACCAGCC